CTCACCAATGGTTGTCAGCAATGAGCGCCCCCGTGAGCTGTATATCGTGCCGAGCGGCGTCTATCCTCCTGCCCACGCGCGTCTCGCCGTCCTTGATGACATAGAGCAGCATCTCCGACAGCTGCGGGTCCTCGTTCAGGTTCACCAGGTTGGGCAGTCGGTTGTCCACCTTGAAGGTGATCCCGGCACGCTGCAACACACACACAGCGCGTTCTACACACACATACATAGCGTTCTACACACACACAGCACGGTTCTACAAACACATACACGGCAAAAGGAAACTAGACTAGCGTAATGGTAACTGTAACATGAAGTAAAACAAACACCCACCCACCGCCCTCACCTCCCACCGCCCTCACCACCCACCGCCCTCACCTCCCACCGCCCTGTCACTTTCTGCCAGACACTACCTGCAGAGTCACCCACCAATCACCTTAAAATGTGTTCGCTCACCATCTCCTACCCATCACAGGCCACTTCTAGGTCTACCCATCAACCACCCATCAGTTAATACCCCCAGTACACCCACCAACCACCCCCCGGTACACCCACCAACCACCCGCCACATCACCTCCAACAACTGTAACTCCTCAGCCTTCCTCTCCTCCGCCTGCCTCAATCTCTCCTGCCCCCCAGTACACCCACCAACCACCCGCCACATCACCTCCAACAACTGTAACTCCTCTGCCTTCCTCTCCTCCGCCTGCCTCAATCTCTCCTGCCAGGACCGACTCATTTCCTCCATCTCCTGCCTCAGACGTCCAATCTCTGCCACGCTGGACGCCAGGGCCTCGTCCGTCATCACACCGCCCTGCTCCGCGCGAAGACGCTCTATCTCCGCTCGCAGTTCTGGGGGGGAGGGAGGGTCAGGTGGGGTGGCGGGAGGGGAAGGGAGGGGTGGGGTGATGGGTGAAGGGTGAGGGGTCGAGGTGGGGTAGAGTGAGATGAGGGGAGGAGTGAAGTGAGGGGTGGGAGGATGGATGGGGAGGGGTGGGGTGGAGTGGAGGATGACAAACATTATGTTGATGTGTGGTTGTTACATCAAACTAGCACAGACATAACAATCACATATTCCCTGCCATAAAAGGTAGGCACAGGAGTATAACAGTGCCAAGATGATACAGGACTTTTGAGAGCATCCAGAATATACTTTTTTTTTTTAAAGTGGGCCCAGTACATACTTGTCCGCCTCCATCAGCCCAATCGAGAACATTCAGGAGGTACAATATCACATCTGAAAGAGCTGCAT